TCTTGCTCAGGCTGGTCTCAAACTCATGAGCTCAGGTAACCCACCAGCCTCAGCCTTTCAGAGTGCTAGAATTATGGGCGTGAGCCACTGCTCTGGCCCATTTTTTTCTGGTCTCACTCTTGCTCAGGCTGGTATAGAAATCCTAAGCTCAAGGGATCCTCCTGCTTCAACGTCCTAGAGTTCTGGCTGTACAGCTATGAGCCATGGTGTCTGGCTTTTCACTCAAATTATTAATATAAGCGTATTTTTCCTTTAGATCTCAGTTCAGTGTCACTTTTTCAGGCAAGGTCTTCTTGTCTTCCGTTCTAGATTGAAGAGCACCGTGGTTTTCCTTCATACCGATTATTGCAATTAAGATTAAATGATTGTTTAACGACATATTTAATGTTTGTCTCCCCTATTGGACTGTAAGCTCTGTGAGGGCAGATATGTCTTGTCCTGTTCACCACTGTATTCTTAGAACAGAGCATAGTGCCTGACATATATAGAAAGAAGGAGTTCAAAGTATTTTTTTCTGAATCAATTATAAGGCAAACATTTCATATTTCTTCTACAAACTTTACATCCTTTCATCATTACACATTTAAAAATCTGAGTGTTAGGAGGCGCCTGTGGCTCAGTGAGTAGGGCATGGGCCTCATGTACCAAGGATGGCAGGTTCGAACCCAGCCTGGTCAAACTGCAACAAACTGCCACCTGTTGTGGCAGGTGCCTGTAGTCCCAGCTACTTGGGAGGCTGAGGCAAGAGAATTGCCTAAGCCCAAGAGCTGGAGGTTGCTGTGAGCTGTGACACCACAGCACTCTACTGAGGGTGACAAAATGAGACTCTGTCTCTAAAAAAAAAAAAAGAATCTAAGTGTCATTTCATGATGATCTGCCTTTCTGCCTTAGGGGTCACAAAAGACTACAACTTTTTTTTTTTGTTTTCATTTTTCACAAATTTATTCATTTTTTATTTCAGAATTTTACAGGGGTACACACATTTTGGTCATATAATTTCCTTTAACATTTTAAGTTAAAGTTATAACTGTGTCCTTCACCCAGAATGTGTGCCTTATATCACTTAGGTGTGAATTTACCCAACTTTTCCTCCTTGTCCCGCCTACTTGATTTTCTCTGAGTTTTACTTACATACGTGCATGTAAGTGTTGATCGACTAGTTCTAGTTTAGTATGGAGCACACGTGGCGTTTTTGTTTTTCCACTCTTACAGTACTTCATTTAGAACAGTGGTTCTCAACCTTCCTAATGCCGCAACCCTTTAATACAGTACTTTGGGGTGTGGCGACCCCCAACCATAAAATTATTTTCACTGCTACTTCATAACTGTAATTTTGCTACTGTTATGAATCATAAGGTAAATATCTGATATGCAGGAGACCCCCAAAGGGGTCGCGACCCACAGGTTGAGAACTGCTGATTTAGAAGAACAGTCTCCCGTTCTATCTAGGTTGTTAACAAAAGATACTAGATCATCGGTTTTTTTTTTTGGCTGGGGCTGGGTTTGAATGTGCCACCTCTGGCATATGGGGCCTGTGCCCTGCTCCTCTGAGCCACAGGCACTGCCCTAGATCATCGTTTTTTAATGGCTGAGTAGTACTTCACAGCATACATCTATCACATTTTATGTGTATATAAATATCTATCACAAGACCACAACTTTTACATTGTGTGGTATAGGACTGAGCAGAGTCCTACTGGCGTGGGAAAACAGCACTGGGAAAGAAAAAAGGAATGTAACTACTTATCAATAGTATTTCGTAGCTGTTAAAATCTCCTTGGTCTGGGGTGGGACACAATTATAAGAGAGACTTTACCTAACAAATGCAATCAGTATAACCTAATTCTTTGTACCCTCAATGAATCCCAAACAATAATTAAAAAAAGAAATCCAGGAGATAAAAGTTAAATAGTAAAAAACAAACAAACAAAACTTCATGGTCGGCTCTGCGCCTATAGCTCAACTGGCAAAGGCGCCAGCCACGTACACCTAAGGTGGCGGGTTCGAATCCCCAGCCCGGACCCACCAAACAACAATGATGGCTGCAACCAAAAAATAGCCGGGCGTTGTGGCGGGCGCCCGTGGTCCCAGCTACTTGGGAGGCGGAGGCAGGAGACTCGCTGGAGCCCAGGAGTTGGAGGTTGCTGTGAGCTGTAATGCCACGGCACTCTACCCAGGGGGACAGCTTGAGACTCTGTCTCCAAAAAAAAAAAACTTCATGGTCTATTGGGGTAAAGAGCATGGACTATGCAATCAGACCCAGGTTTGGATCCCAGGTCCACTATTTAGAAACTGTGTGATTTGGGCAAGTTATTCTCCTCTCTGTTCCTCAAATTCCTCAGCTATAAAATAAAGATATAAGGCTGAGTAAGGTGGCTCACACTTATAATCCTCGCACTCTAGGAGGCGGAGGCAGGAGGATCCTTTGAGCTTAGCAGTATGAGGTTAATTGTGAGCTTGGCTGATGCCATGACCCTCCCATCTCGAGCAAGAGAGTGAGACTCTATCTCAAAAAAATAAAACTAAAATGGGGATATAATAATGGCACCTTTATTATAAAGTTGTTAGATTACTATCATGAGATAATAATCATAAAACACTAAGAATAGGGCCTGGCCTTAGCAGATACTCAGTAAATGTCATTATTTTTATCTGTAGAAAAATAAAAGGTTGCCCATTTCTCATGTGGTACAGTGAAGTTCTCTGTGGGGAGATAGGATAGGAACACTTAAAATTGTATACCTCTTCCTCATTCATTTTATCTACCTTTAAGTCTTAAAATTGAAGCCAGTGGAAGAAAAGTAAGAGGAGAAAGGCTGCTAGTTATGTTCTAATGATAGTGATATCAGTTTGAACTGTCTCCTGGAAGACCGTGTTCCTATTGCTTACACACGTATCTTCTTCACAAGCCATTGCCAGACAGATAAAATATGCTAAGGGAGGCCTACCTGTTCAGGTTCTTTTTTTTTGAGACAGAGTCTCAAGCTGTCGCCATGGATAGAGTGCTGTAGTGTCATAGCTCTCGCAGCAACCTCCAACTCGGGCTCAAGTGATCCTCTTGCCTCAGTTTTTCTATTTTTAGTAGAGATGGGATCTTGCTTCTGCTCAGGCTGGTCTCCAACTGGTGAGCTCAAACAATCCACCTGCCTCAGTCTCCCAGAGTCCTAGGATTATAGGAGTGAGCCACTGCACCGGTTCTTGCCACCTGGAAATCTGTGAATGCAGCTTTTGAGAATCATTAAACTTCTTTCTCTTTACCTTATTAGGACCCTTCTAGTTGATTAGAAACTACCAAGTATCTATCAGATACTCAAAGCCGTAATAAAAGAATGAAGTCAGAACTGCAACAAGGAACTGATTCAAGGACCAGGGCTCTCATTAAAAAAAAAAAAAAAAAAAAAAAAAAGAACAGAAAAGAAAAAGAAACAAGAAAGATACAGAAAAGTCAAACAGCTAATCTTCCCTAAAGACCTCAGTGTTCTCTCGTAAGGCCTCTTCCTTCTTTCCTGAAGGCACACTCAGTTCCGGAGCAGAAGCCAGTAAACAACCCTGAGATAAATCGCTTTCCCCACCCCTTTTAATCTTGTGAAAGTACTGCCAATTCCAGGAATTCCTCCTTTGATCAGAAGATAAAGCAGAACAATGCTATGGAACTAAGTGGATTTCTAAGGGACATTCTTCTACACTGTGTAAAACTTGCCTGGAAAAGTGTGTGCCTGGAGAGGATGGGTGGTGGTGGTGGTGGTAGAACACTAGGAGTCGGAAGGGTCAGTATACAAGAGTTGATGGCCACAGCCACAAGGAGTACTCAGATACGTGCTTCTAGACTTCTTATAGGAAAGAAACTACATCTAATCTTCCCATCTGGGAGGCATGCTTATTACTGCCATTAGAGAGCTTCATTCATCCATATTCACTGGATATTCTCCCTCCATCCCTAGGTGCCCCCTCAAAAGAATTTTTAAAAAGTCTGATTTATTTCCCCTTATTTGCTGGAGGTTAAGTTTCTACTTCTTAGAGCCTTTTCATATATGTATATATATATACATACATATACATATATTATATATATATATATATTTTTTTTTTTAACTGAGAATTGGGGCCTAAAGCACTCTACCACATTAGACTGTGAGACTGTGGAAGATGTGGGCCTCATTCTCTTACTGCTTAATGGACAATTTGTTGGAAAACTCTAGGAATTTTGCCTCTGCCTCTAACACTTTTGTGCCCCAGCGTCACCCTCTGTAAGTGGGGATAATTTTCCTATATACTTCCCATGGTTATGTAATTTTTAAAACTAACACTTGAAAGGTTAACGCTTTAAATGCATAATCTCATTAAATTCTCGCGAAGTTGTTATAATTATGTAATTATGGAGTTTCCATGTTAAGGTACTTTGTAACAGAAAGAGCCGTCTAGCTGTGAGTTATTAAGGAGCTATCTTCCTTGTGAGGATTAAGTGAGATACCGACTCAAGAGCGCTTTTCACGCTATCTAGGACTTCACACAACCCATGTGATAATCTACTAATTACATATCCTACAGCACCTGATCCACCGTGTAGACTCGGCAAATGCTGAAGTGAACGATTTTGTCTTGCCTGTTTCTTTTAGCCTTCCAATCACAAATTAATCTCGCAGCCGTTTGGGGACAAGACCATAAATCTGGGAACTACAGCTCAGATTGCAGGCGGGTGCGGAGTTCCGGGGGGAGGGGACGGGAACAATAGGATATTCGGTGCTTATGCTAGCCGGCTGGGCTTCGGACGCCGGGCCGGAGATGACCGGCTGGGGCGTCTGCAGGGTGTCCTACCCAGGTCTGGGGCCTGAGGCCGCACCGGGGACTAGCCGGTATCCCGGGTGAGCGAGCAGGACCAGAGCCCTAACTCCCCAGCTCCAGCCTCACCGGAGGCACCCCAACCCCGCCCATAACTCAGGTAGGCCGTCGCACCAGCCAATCCGCGAGAAGCCTGGGCGCGGAAGGCGGTGCTGCCCCGGCCGGAAGTGACGTGCCGTGCTTGGCTGGCCGCAAAGTCCGCCGAAGCGCTCCGCCGCGGCTCAGCCAGCTTAGAGGAAAATGGCTCGGACTGTGGCGTTTGCGGCGGCGCAGGTTGTGGTGGAGGCGGAGGTTCGGGCAGCGTGAGGTGAGGAGTGGTCGGTGCGGCTGGGGCGGGTACCCCAGACGCTGCTCTGCAAGGGCGGAAAGGGGACCCGGGGATGCCAGGATGGAAGAGTCCTTCGCGGCGGCCCCCAGCCCTCCGGGTGCCCGCCTCTGACCCTCCATCCTGTACTCTTGGCGCTGCCCAGGCCGACTCTCCTCCCTGCGGGCCTCGCTTCCACCTAGGCGGTTGCCAGCTTCCCTGCGGAAGGTGCGAGGGCCCCGCGCCACCCTCTAGGCGCTTTTTGTCGGGGGCACGGGTGCGCTTGGGAGTTAGTTTTGTCCCAAAGAGGGAGGGTAGGCCACCCCCTTGTCCTCCGGACAGGGCTGGCGCCTTAGTGGCCGGTCCTATTCTTTTACTCCATTCTCTTGTCTTGGCTAGTGTGTGTGTTAAGCGTCTCTGTTATGGCCCCTTCTTTCGTCTCCTGTCCTGTCCCATCTCTGGCTTTAGGGGCTAAAGATCCTTTTTCTTCTCTCCCTGCCCCCCCCCCCCCCCCCCCCCCCCCCCCGCCACCTGATTGCTTTTTGCCGCGAATCCTCTTACTTTGGGAAGACTTATTATTTCAGTGTGTATTTAGCGCATCATCTTTCTGGAAAGGCGGTCAGGTTAAAAATATTGGCTTAACTCAGTGACGGGGGAACGATAAATAATTGAAAAGGGAAAAAAGCACATACTTATTTTCCTCACTAAATTGTTTGGCTTTAAAAACAAGATTCTCCAGCTGTGGAGTTGGTTTGTGGGGTAGGGGAAGGAAGCAGGGATCCAGGAGGGAAATGAAGAAGGAGAAACTAAGCAAAGAGAAAAGTGTGGAGATAAGAACGTGGAAAAGAGAGGCTTCCCTATGTTGACCTGATAGAAATTGAGGTTATACTTTTATTTTAAACAGTAGGTGTTTGAACAGAGTGAAACTAAAGAGGCCTTTCTCTTTGAACAAGATTGCTTATTAAAGAGTATCGTAAAGTCTCTCTAGGTGGGTGTTCAGGGAGAAAAGCTCTGCTGGGAAAACTATTTAATATATTGTATCTCTCGGAATAGAAGAGATGCAAGAAAAAGAAAGCTATTTTTAGAGAAGTGGGGAAGACATAAAGGGGGGCGGCTGCGCAGAGGTCCAGAACATTGATTCCAGAAGAGACTTTGTACCTTTGCCTACTTGGCTCGCGGTTCAGATCTCCACAAGAGGCTCTTTTAGCAGCTCTGCCATAGTTGGGATTGGTGCTATTATTCGCTGTAGCAAATTAGACTGAAGGACCTTAGTCGAGATACACAAACTTTGGAAATACCATCCCAGCTTGTTTAATAGTAATACAGTGTTAAAGTATTGAAAAGCATTACAACTGAATGAGAACAGAGGTTTTTGTTAACTCAAAATTAGTTCAAAGTGATTTTATGTAGATACAAAGCATATATGGAGTTTCTTCCACAGATTCCATAAATTCCAGACAAATTATAGATTCTAGAGCAGATTTTTTTCTTATGAAAATCTCTGTTACTGGTGACACCCGTAGCTCAGTAGGTCGGGTGCTGGCCACATACACTGAGGCTGGCACGTTCAAACCTCGCCCGGGCCAGGCAAAACAACAATGACAACTGCAACCAAAAAATAGCCTGGTGTTGTGGCGTGTGCCTGTAGTCCCAGCTACTTGGGAGGCTGAGGCAAGAGAATTGCTTATGCCCAAGAGTTTGAGGTTGCTGTGAGCTGTGACACCATAGCACTCTACCAAGGTGAGACTTTGTCTCAAAAAAAAGAAAGAAAATCTATGTTACTGTTTGTGTTTTGCATGTGTGTTGCTTGTAGTTTTCTTTGCAAGCAATATATTTTAATGTTTTCATCCACTGGTTTCACAGTTTTTTGTATTTTATAGAATACATCAGATGTAGAGTATGAAAATTCTGTTTTATCTTGGGTTCCTGCTTAAAAAAGAAAACAACTCCTGTGAGAAATGGGTTAATGATAATTTACTTCTAATCACTTTGATAGTACTCATATGATGTTCTTTTTAAGACAGAGTCTCACTATGTCAGCCCTGGGTAGAGTGTCGTGGCCTTACAGCTCACAGCAACCTCAAACTCTTGGGCTTCAATGATTTCTCTTGCCTCAGCCTCCCATGTAGCTGGGACTACAGGCGCCTGTCACAACACCCAGCTATTTTTTTGTTGTAGTCGTCATTTAGCAGGCTTGGGCCAGGTTCAAACCTGCCAGCCCTGTACATGTGGCTGGCACCCTAACCACTGAGCTACAGGTGCCAAGCCTTATATGATGTTCTTTTGATGGGAATTGGCATGCTTACCGTGAGGAATTTTAGAAGCAACTATAACTTTCTGTAATTAGCCGTATGTGATTTTTTTTTGTTTCTCTTCTGCCATTAATAGTTGTAAAATTTTCAATTCACTGAAGATTGCTGCATCAATTCCCATGTCTAGGAATCTTTCTTTAGTTTAGCTCAAACTTTTGCACTTAGTAAGCACGAATACATTGATTTATGCTTGAAGAGTGTTGAATTTCCCCAAGAGTTCATAAACCTTCTCAGAGCATTATACTGTACTTTTAGAGCAGTAGTATAGAGCGCTTTTTAAAAAAAAAGACTGAATCTCACTTTTTTTTTTTTGATTGGGACAGAGTCACAATTAAACTTTTTCGCTTTTGGTAGAGTGCTGTGGCGTCATAGCTCACAGGAACCTCAAATTCTTGGGCTCAAGTGATCCTCTGTCTCAGCCTCCTGAGTAGCTGGGACTACAGGCACCTGCCATAGAGACAGGGTTTCAAACTTACTCAGGCTGGTCTTGAACCTGTGAGCTCAGGCAATCCACCTGCCTCGGTCTCCTACAGTGCTGGGGTTACTTACAGGTGTGAGCCACCTTGCCCGGCATAGACAGCATTTTTAAATGCTTTATAACTTGTCTTACTTTGATAGCATAAATTACCCATTCTGTTAACCATATTCCAAAAAGAGTTTAAGGCAGGAATATGGTAAAGGTGAATGTTTCAGTGCAGTACACTGATATTGTAGATGATTTGATTTGAATACCTGAGTAGGGGTAAAAATTAACCATCTGAAAGCTATTTAGAATTCAGAGGGCTTGCTTGGGTGCCCAGCACTGCGAAGGTTCCAGGGATAGAAAAAAATGAGACAGCGCTTGACCTCAAGAAGTTCTATAGTCCATCTGGAAGACAAACATACAAATTATAACAGTGATAGATCCAAAGTGCTTAAAAGGATATAGTCACCTGGACTGGGAGGTGGAGAGGGAATGAGCGGGTCCAGTGAAGAAGATGATGCTCAAATTGATTTTGTTGTTGTTGTTGGAGACAGTCTCACTCAGTTCCCCTGGGTAGAGGGCCAGGCTCACAGCAACGTCAAACTCTTGGGCTCAAGTGATTCTTTTGCCTTAGCCTCCCAAGTAGCTGGAGTCTGCCACACTCAGCCCTCAAATTGAGTTTTAAAGGGTGAATTCCTTCTATTAATGGAGGTAGGATGGATAAAAGTGATCAGATTCCAGGCCTTGCACTGCTTGTACCAAGTAGTAAAATGTTGAGCAAGCTGCTTAATACCTCTGGTATTCATTTTCTTATTCTGCATTTGACTGCCCTGTAGTAATATGTGAGCCACAAATGGGAGTCACAATATGTAAGAGATTTTACATTATTTTTTTTTTTTAAAGATAAGCTTTATTTATTTTTGCCATTTTTTTTTTTTTTTTTGGCTGAGGCTGGGTTTGAACCCGCCATCTCCAGCATATGGGACCAGTGCCCTACCCTTTTGAGCCACAGGAGCCGCCCGATTTTACATTATTTTTTTCCTCTAGGTCTTTGAAATCTGGTGTGTACTTTACACATGACACATCTCAATTCAGAACAGCCACGTTTCAAGCACTCAGTAGTAACCATATTTGACAGTGTAGATCTAGAGTATGAAAATTCTATTTTATTTTGGGTTCCTGCTTAAAAAGGAAAAGAAAATCCTTGAGAAATGTATTAATGGTAATTTACAATTCCTAATCATTGGCTCAGCGCCTGTGGCTCAAGCAGCTAAGGCGCCAGCCACATACACCTGAGCTGGCGGGTTCGAATCCAGCCGGGGCCCGCCAAACAACAATGAAGGTGCCAAACAAAAAATAGCCGGGCATTGTGGCGGTCATCTGTAGTCCCAGCTACTTGGGAGGCGGAGGCAGGAGAATCACTTGAGCCCAGGAGTTGGAGGTTGCTGTGAGCTGTGATGCCACAGCACTCTACCC